TGAAACCAGTGTTTTAATAATAACAAAAGCCACCACAAAATAAAGTATTTCCTTTCTGGGGAAAAAATGTAGTCCTGAATATTTGAGCTAAGAATTAACCCCTAACTCTTTCATTAAATTTATTCAATCTTCTCAAATAAATTAATTAAATCTAATTAATTGTGCTGGATTAAATTTTTGAATTATGTGAAATGCATAAGGTTTAAACAAACAAAAATAGGATTATTAATTTCCTATAGTGAGTTACTACAAATAATAAAGGTTGCCATTTGTCTTGATCCATTTTGAGAAAGCCTCTAATTTGTAAATTATCTCCAGGATTTTCAGCATTTTCTCATTGGCTTTTGTTTTAAGAATAGTAACATAAAAGAAACAACAAGTTGATATCTAAAATACATATATTAGAACAAATACACTAGAATGACTGGAATCTAAAATAAATACATTAGAATCGATCTTGGATGAATGGAGAAAAAATGTAATTTCACATATCAGAAAACTATGTCCCAACTGGCAGGTAAAGTAAAATAATCAAGTGTAATTTAAAAAATTCTTACTATGCATTATTTCCTGGAGTTGGATGGTATATCTGAGAATCTTATTTTTCTTTAAGTTTCTGATCAAATATACCAGTTAGATATATTATTCACTCAGAAGTACTTAGGAATAGGCTCAGAATAGAAAAGAGAGAAATCATAAAAGACCAGTATCTATGTATGCTTGTGTATATCTGTGTGCATGGGTAGTAAGCTTCTCAGATGTCAGAGAGTGCTATTCCCTGATCAGTCTTAGGGAACTCTTCACACATGTTATCCGTTTATATTCACAAGGACTTTGATGTTTGCTGGAAATTAATCACATAAGATTGCGCAATCATTGTTTCTAGAGACAGGAGATAGAATCCCTTTTGCAGGGACCCTAAGAGTCCCCATATTTTTTTAGCAGACAATACCACAGAGACTGGTGTTCCCTTGCAGGACCATTTTTTACTACAAATGGATCGAAGTAAGGTTGTGAATAAAAAGAGGGATTCTTTTGCTCACAGCCACTTTACATGCTGACATAATGAATTATCTTATGAATGTAAACTTTTAAAATAGCATCTTGATACATCTCAGTCAATCTAGTCTCTGTTAGTTGAATTTGTTCAGCATTCTTTGTATGGATGTAAGAATTTTTGTGGAACTATTCTGTGTTAAGGAACTTTGTGCTGCATAAAATGTGTTTTCATTGCTCATGAAATTTAGATATAGTGATATTACAACCAATATAAAATACAATGTAGGAAGCGATACAATTTTCTAAAATATAATGTGGTGATTTTGAACATTCTTATTGTAAAAATTTTATAAGCACATTCCTATATATACGTATACCCATATACAAAAATCAATTTTTTTCTTCAAGTGGAGTTAAATTATGGAGATTAAAATATCAGTGCTATAGAAAATCATTAATAATAGATATATTTTATTACTTTCACCAGGGAGAAATTGATTTTTCTAGGAAACATTCAGAAAACAATTCAGTTGCTAAGAAAGCATTCCCAAGACTAGAATATCACCTCCAAAATGTTAAACATTTCTCCTCATTAATTTTCTTAAAGGATAAAGATATACAACCAAATGTAAATCCTTTATTAGAAAAATATGTCAATCTTTGAATCATATCTTAGAATTCATGTATAATAACTTAGAGTCTGTGTTTAGAACAAAACAAAAAGGAAGCAATGGAAAGAAAAGTGATTCAGACAGAATGATTCTGCAAAGGAAACACATTTCTAAAGATTGATGCAACGTTTGAATTAATCTATTTCTTTTCTTTATTAGATGTCTACTAGAGGCCCGGTGCATGAAATTCATGCATGGGAGGGGAGGGGTCACTCAGTTCGGCCTGCACCCTTTCACAATTCAGAACACTAGAGGCCCGGTGCATGAAATTCATGCACGGGAGGGGAGGGGTGGGGTCACTCAGATCGGCCTGCACCCTTTCACAATTCAGAACTACTGGCTCCTAACCGCTCACCTGCCTAATTGCCCCCTAATCAGTCTGCCTGCCTGCCTGATCACCCCTAACCACTCTGCCTGCCTACCTGATTGCCCCTAACTGCCTCTGCCTTGGCCCCTGCTGCTGCGGATTCGTCCAGAAGGACATCCAGAATGATGGCCGGAAGGTCGCTCGACTGTCTGGTCTAATTAGCACATGATTCTTTTATTATTATAGATAGTAGATGAGAAAGTTCCTCAGAGACTTGATAGGCTCATGCCTAATTATGTTTAAAAACAAAACAAAACATTTTTTTCATTAGGAGTGACCCAAAATTAGAAGGAAAATTGCAGGTGGGAAAGTGGATTCAATTCCTATGATATACTTTTGCCTATAATCAGTCATCTTCCTTCATTTAAACACAAACCATATACATGTGATAAATCTGGTGCTGGCAAAAAATATTTTTATTTTTTATTTTTTGTCCAAGTGTTAGGAGCACTCTCCCATGTCAGGAAGCCTTCATTTAAACACAAACCATATACATGTGATAAATCGGGTGCTGCCCAAAAATATTTTTTTTTTAATTTTTTGTCCAAGTGTTAGGAGCACTCTCCCATGCCAGGAAGCAAACATATTTCTAATTTTCTTTCCTCAATGCAGAAATAGTTTATTAAACCACTAAGTCTGAAATGACTATATCTATTCAGTAATCTGGATTTTACCACTCTAATTGTACCAGTCCCAAGAATTAGGTGAAAAACCCTTTGGTAAATACATGTAGAAATCCAAATATACTTTATGTTATTTCTTTTCTTTTTTCTTTCTTTTTTTTTACATTATTCTTGTTATTTTTAAGTCCATCACAGTTTATAACATATTATTTAGGTGTTTCAAAATACTTTATTTGGTGAATAAAGTAGCTGACTTTAAAGGCAAGAGTAGTACTAGTATAGTCAGATTCCTAGTGGTAAATTATAAAAGAAAAAGACTGTCATTTGTGATAAAGATAGGAAACTTGGAACAATTACAAAATGTAAATTGGAAGAGGAAAAAAGTTTGAAACATAAACAACTACAGCATATACTCTAATTCTTTCTCAGTTTGGAGTATATGCTGATCTTTTCAAAAATCAAGATAAATTTGATATCATTTAATTTTCATTCAAATGCATTATATTTTTGTTGAATTCCCTGGTTTACCATTAACATGTCATTTATTAGATATATCTAATTAGATTGATTAGATCACAACCATAAATTTCATTAGAGAACTCAGATATATTTTCATATAATCCACAGCACTGAAAATGTTTAAGATATTCAAATTTGTGTAACCACCTCCAAGGGAGTATTTGGCAATGGCATGATTTCACTCTTAGACACTTAGTCACACATGTCTGCCTGAAATATTTTTTTTAAATATAATAAGAAGCTGGGATTATAACTGAAGTAGATAGAATTAAGCTCTAGAAAATACAATTAATTTCTGAAAAAAAAATTAAACTCTTTTACACCTATTACTTTGTAATTCAGTACTTTACTTTCCGTTAATATAATTCTTATTAATATACAATTATAAAAAAGAATACATGTCACAAAGCCTTTAAATAAAAATAAAATATCTTATTAATTATTACTACATATGTGTTCATAACTGAAACTAAGAATCTGCTGGCTCCTTATGGGACTATGTCAGAGTACAAGGCTAGGAAAGGAAACTCGGTCCAAGAAGAAAGGCCTTTATCTTCTCAGTATGAATCTGTCCACAGAACAGAGTAACTGGATGTCCCTTTGGGAAGAGAGAAAAGACCTAGTGCCCCAGTGGATCTATGGTCCCTCAGCATCCTCAGCACATTGGATACCTTCCCAATATTTACTCTTTTACCGATGCAGCTCTCCCTCCCTGATCTCGAATTCAGTTTCCTTCAGTCCGGAGTTGGGGGACTGGTAGCCAGTAAGTCCTGTCAGGCCTGTACAGTGTGGACTGTACAATGTTTTAGAAAGCAGTAGCTGACTTTGAACACTTTAAACACAGGCAGAAATGGAGGTCCTGCTGAAAAATTGGAACTTTTGGTGACCTACAACCTTTTTTCACATGGCAGCAATTACTAGCTTGTGTGAATCTGTCCACAGCCAGGCGTGCACCTCGAGTTTTCTACAGTTCCTTCTTTTCCTTACCATCGGACTCCCTTCAGCATGAAAGATAGGTTTCGTTTTGACATCGGCTTCAATAAATAACCTTTGTGTTACCCTCAGCCAGTGAGAAGCTGTTGAGACTTGTGTTTCAGTGATTTCTTTCCTGGCTCCCTCTAGCGGCCTGATTCCCTTGATGAATACCTTGATTCTGTTTCCAGATCTTTAATCCTGGACTTTTTGCTTTTCCTCCTCTCACATGTCATGCCCTCTCCCTAACCAATGTTACTAGAATGTGCCATTTGCAATTTGCATTACTTTTCATTAACTTTGATATTTTTTATTACTTCTCCCTCCTATCATTAATATACTAGTATCGACAAACCTTTTACTGCTGTAGAATTTAGATGTTTATTTTTTTAAAAAATTACAAGAAAGTTGGTATAACTTCAGAGAAATAATATTCAGGGAAAATATCCCATGAACACATGCCAGTGATATATTTGTTGCGGAGGATTTGCTTCAAATACTCTTTGTTTAAGCAAAGGTTCAGAGAAAGAAGCATGCACCACGCTACAGTATCATTGTACTGTGACAGAGACTCCCTATCTGTCCTTTGCTCAAAAGTATTCTTTTCCATGAAATACATAATCATTTAAGAGCCCGACTTCAAAGTCTAAGTGTGGTTTTGCCCCTAACGGCACTTTTCAGTAAAACACAATATATACAGCTTTGAAATGCATATTGAGTGTGTCTGGCAATGACATTTATGTTTTCTCAATAACTGATATGGTTATGGTTGAAAAAAAAAGGCAGGTTTTCTTTGAACTTTCATTAAAACTATGAAAAATTTAGTATTGCAATTGCACAAGGACTCACCCCGGCACTGCGCTCCTTCATCGTACCCATCTGAGCAGTCCAAGACGCCGTCGCACAGCTGGGACAAGTGAACACATTTGTTGACACCAGGGCAAGCGATGTGATTCAAGGGACACTTGATTTCTACCTCTTCAGGACCTGAAAACAGTGTAAAAAGGGTCAGATTGATGTTGATTAGCTTTGCTTTTTTTAAAAAATACACTAAAATTGTTAAGAACAAAAAAATTACTAGAATTAACTTACAAAACAAAACTATAGAAATTCTACTGGAGAACAGCTCTAATTCTGACAGGCATTGAAATTAGCCTAAGTGCTTAAAAACCTAATTTTAAAAAGCTGCAGAGGAAATACAGATTTGAGTTTTGTTTTCAAAGAATGTGTTAAAAACACAAATATTCTTTCAATCCTCAAAGTAGCGTGAATTGAAACCTGTGGGTTGCTTTGAGTCATTGTTCTCTTATCCTTAGACAGGCGGAAAAGGCACTTAAATTCTGTAAATCTCAATTCCCTAAACTGTGAAATATACATAAGGACAACTTCTTGACAGGGTTCTTGTTAAAATTATATCAAGTAACATGAACAAAAACATATTTGTGGAATTTAAATGAATTTGTGACAACCTAAATGTGATTTTATTTTTAATCTGGAATATGAAGACTAGCTTGTTATATACATATTTACATATGGATTATTTTGTTTAAATAAATCACTGAGCAACTATAACACAATAGAATTTGCTGAAGAATGAGGAGGCAATGATGGACAGGGCATACTCCTGAGTTCACCTGCTGTTGGTAACTGCGTTTTATATAATCACCCTTTGTGCTTTTAAAGACAAACTAAAGTCAGAACACAGAGTCTTTCCTTGAAGGTCACCAATTCCAAATCTTCATCAAACATCCAAGTCTTAGGTATATTGTTGTGTCTAATTCCCAAGTCCTATCTATACTTCTTCTGTAGGCACTCCCCAAATTCCCCATAATGATCCTTAATCTTGCTCAGCTCTCTCAAATCCAAAGTGCAGTCATACCAAAATGACTACAATTATGCATTAATCTGACACTGATTATGGCAACAGCTCATTCTATAGTCAGACACATTTAAGCTTTAACTGCATACAGTTGTAGCAATACCCATGGGCCATTAATTTAATCAACTAAGCATTAGGTTTCTCATATGTAAATGGAACTATCAACTGAGTCTACTTTGTGGGGTTGTTATGAATGTCAAAAGTTATTGATAGCAAAGCACTGAGCACTGTGAGATGCAGGCTCAGAGTAGGAATTCAAATTCAATATGTGTTAATCATGTAAATAAATGCAGTATCCTGGAGTGATTAACAGACTGGAGCCAGATTCCTGAGTCCAATTCCTGGTCCCATCACTTGCAAACTGAGTAACTTGAGCAACATATATACCCTCTCTGTGCTTCAGCAGGGTGTTGGAAGGATTATATCAAAAGCTCTCAGTATTTTTCCTGGCAATCACTAAGCGTTTGCTATTATCATAGTTAAATTAAGAATGTTCCAAGAGGATGAGTTGTCTTTTGTAAACACTTGTATCTCATAACTGTCTTTTTTTCTGTTGCAAGCCCCAAAAAGAAAAAAGAAAAAACAGCTCAGAAGTAATAAAAAGACCTATCTAACATACTATCTAGGATATGCAAAGTTATGAGAATTGCAGAAGAATTAGAAAATGAAGAAAAGAGGAATACAAAAGTACTACACAAGAAAAATAATATAAGCTGAAATTGCGAAAAGTAAGATGTCTTTTTTTGAAATGCCTTATCAAATATGCATTACAGGTATACGTGGTTTTGTTTGATGGTAAGAAAGTTTTCAACGTTTTGTGTTTGAGGATGTAAACAATTTTTATGATGGAGCTTCACTAGATGAAGCGTTGCCACTAACAGACACCTCCCTATTGTTTCATGTATATTTATACAATTATTGCCATAAAAGGCTGTTAGTTTTGTCCAACACCTGCTTCCACACATGCACAACTCGTTTTACTGTAACATGTCTCTACAACTTGAGTATCAATATCTTAAAATATAATCATTTGTTTCCATATATGACTAATTACAAAAGCACAAATTAAATCCAATTTATAAGAAGAAAAGTGAAACTCTTTTCTTTGTATTTTAATCCTCACCTGAGGATATGTATTTATAGATTTTAGAGAGAGGGGGAGGGAGAGGGAGAGAAAGAAAGGGAAACATCAATGTGAAAGAGAAACATCATGAGCATGCCCTGACCGGACCAGAGGATCAAACCCACAATATGGGTATGTGACCTGACTGTGAATTGAACCTACCACCCTTTGGACGATGTTCTAACCTGTGATCCACACTAGCCAGGGCAAAATGTGACACTGTTTTCACTGAGAATTTTTAGCTATTGAAACTTGTATTTATAAGATTAACATAAATCTATTTTATTTATTTATTTTTAAATATATTTTTATTGATTTCAGAGAGGAATGGAGAGGGAGAGAGAGATGGAAACATTGATCTGCTGTCGCTGCACACCCCACACTGGGAATCAACCCGGACTTATGCCCTGACCAGGAATCAAACCATAATCTCCTGGTTAATGAGTTGACTCTCAACCACTGAGCCATGCCGGCTGGGCAACATAAATCCATTTTAAAAATAAAATTAAATAACATGAATTTGTTTTGACAAGGTATAAACTTCTATGACCAATATTCACAAAATACTTCTTAAAATTTATTGGCTGATTCCTAAAACTTTAAAAAACATTCATCTTTGCAAAAATGTCAAGTAGTATTTAGGCCAGATATAATAAGATCTTTGAAAACAAAACAAAACAAAACAAAACAAGATAACCCACACAAAGAATACTTCATAAACCTGAGAAATTTTAGAGATTTTATGGTTAGAGACCAAAAGTGGCTCAATAGTACTTAAAAAAAAGTGGTACATATGTTGGCACCAATAAAAGTGTGATTTTTCGTTAAGACTGTCAGGTAAGTGATGAGTATGATAGAAGGAATGAAATGCACATCTGGTCTTCAGAAGAAAGGCTCAGCTACTTACATTTTTTGAGAAAACAGGAAAAAATATTGGGATTTCTCAGGGGCACTATAGATCTATTAAATTGTTCCAGAGCTAAGAATTTGGGAAATAAGAGTAATTTGTTTGAAATAATAAAACAGTTAATTGGTTTCTTTATGGACTCACCACTATAGTCTTCTCCATCTTTGGTATTTTTTAAAGATTTTTAAAAATTAATTTTAGAGAGACAGAGGGGAGAGGGAGAAAGAGAGAAAAAACATCAAGGGGATGCCTCCTGCATGCTCCCTACTGGGATCGAGCCTGCAACCCCAGTATGTGCCCTGACCAGGAATCAAACTGGCAACTTTTTGGTGCATGGGACGATACCCAACCAACTGAGCCAAACTACTCAGGGCTATCTTTAATAGTCTTTCATCTTGGTTTCATCATCACTGGATAAACGAATAAGATAGCTGGGCCATGGTTTCATGAATTGTACCTTGAGGAGTCCTCCCCAAATCTTCATATTAAAGCTCATAAGGCAATGATGATATTTATAAGTTACACTGAATAAATAGCAGAAATTAGTTGTAGAGGCTGGCCCAGGTCTTACGAATTAACCTCAAAATTAGAGAATCAATTTCTTAAACCCCTTTGACCAGTGCTAGGACTCTTCAGTTGGAAAACTCTGCTCAAACCAGTATTTTGTTGTTCTTTCTGGAAAATGGAAATAGAGGTGGGTTGAGAAATAGTAATGACTGCTTCAACTAAAATCTCCCAGAAGCCAGACAATAAAAATATGTATTGCTTTGAGGAACTATCCATTCTTAATTCCCAAATATTGTTTGTGAAGTAAAGACTTGTACTTTCTCATGGGGCTCCTTTAGTCTATCCTGTAAATGGAGAGATGATGCAATCTGTTCACTGCTTTTAACCCTTTACTTGTGTGATATGGAGAACCGTGTTATAATGGAGCTTGCAGGAATTCCTGAGAACGTGCCAATATTGCATAAGTGATCACCCCATGAAGACGTTTAGGCATTCAGAACATTTGAAAATCAGAAATCATAATCCGAACATATCAAGGAGCAGGATCAGAGGCTCCCTCATGTACCTGGAATTACTTCTTTAATTGCTAAATCATGTGGACACAGGGGGAATCTAGGAGAGGGACAGGCAACATGTGAAAAATTTCAAAATACTAGAAAGAATTCAAAATTTTAACAATACCATAGTCCTAGAGAGAATATCACTTCCATTTTCGGGAATGCCTACTCAGAAAATATTTCCAGTCTCTCAAATCTAATTTTAGGTGACCTGAGCAAGGTAGCAGAATTTGACATATAGTAATTCACTGAAGAAAGAAAATCTTCATTGGGAAATTTAAAACTCTATCAATAAAGGAGCATAGTATATGTATATATCTCTATCTATCTATCCATCATTATCTATCTATTAATTTTTGTAAGCCTTACTCAATTAGTTGAATTAGGATTAATTTTTATTTTTTATTTATTTTTATTTTTTTTTCTTTTCTTTAAAATATATATCTTTATTGATTTCAGAGAGGAAGAGAGAGGGAGAGAGAGATAGAAACATCAATGATGAGAGAGAATCATTGATTGGCTGCCTCCTGCAGGCCCACACTGGGGATCGAGCCCGCAACCCAGGCATGTGCCCTTGGCCAGAATTGAACCAGGGCTGACGCTCTACTCACTGAGCCAAACCGGCTAGGGCGGATTAATTTTTAAACTAAAACTTTTTACAAACCGGCCTTCTAGGATAAGGCAAGGGTAATGTGATTCATCTGTATGTCTAAATTATTTGCCGAAACCGGTTTGGCTCAGTGGATAGAGCGTCGGCCTGCGGACTGAAAGGTCCCAGGTTCGATTCCGGTCAAAGGGCATGTACCTGGGTTGCGGGCACATCCCCAGTAGGAGATGTGCAGGAGGCAGCTGATCGATGTTTCTCTCTCATCGATGTTTCTAACTCTCTATCTCTCTCCCTTCCTCTCTGTAAAAAATCAATAAAATATATTTTAAAAAAAAAATAAAAAAAATAAATTATTTTTTACACACAGAGTAAATATCTTACTTTGTTCAGTAAGATATAGTAAAGGC